GTACATGGTTTATAGCAACATAATTGCCAGGGAGAAAGATCATTGACTATTTGAGATTCATACCCAACACATGAAATGTAGAAAGTCTAAGGGTTTAAAGGGAAAATGTCCCAAAAGCACCCTGCCACGTGAAGGGTCTCGCTCTGTACTGTCTTACACACAGTGCTGCGTCACTGAAAACATTATTATTCATGAGAAATAGTCAGTGTATTTTAGCAATCATCTCTCCTTTAACGACAAGACATAGAAATGTGTCTCTAGACATGTTTCACTTGACTTTCTGTCCATCTTTGCTTTACAATTTGAGTGGATCCATCTGAGGTAGGGCTGCTATGAGCCTGGTTGGCATCATCTATTTTTCTTGCGGTGGAGCTCTAGAGCCTTTGGGTTCCCTTGAAGGGCCTGATTGGTGCCCATCTGAGATGAAGACTACAGTTATTCTCCCTAACAAAGCCCCTGAAAGTATCGATGGAAGCTTTGGCTGCTGCTCAGCGGCAAAATGCACACAAGGTCCTGAAAGCGAGTTTGTTTGATGGTGTAACTTGTAGTTCTTCCAAGAAAAGCCCACACCCATGGCAGCAGGTCTGGGATCCCGGCGCTGTGAAACTTTCTAACATCCTTCATGTATTTTCTGCTCCTCTTGTTTGTTTTCTCCAGGCCAAGCCTAAGCATTGCAGGCTTCTAGTGGGGAAAAGGTGCCATGCAGCATGGTGAATCTCACCAACGTCAACTCTGAGAAGGAGATACACAGCATGCTAAATCTCACCAGCTTCAACTCTGAGTTTGAAGCTTGACTGAGGTCAGGTCTACCAGGCAGCATTTGAGGGCATGATTACACAGACACTTTTCAAGAATGGGGTACCAGGAAGCCAGTGATCATTGACCAAGCCTGAACCTTGACACTTGCAGTTTCCTCAACAAAACATACTCTTCACAGACCTTGCCCAGTTGAGCCTTGTCTCCAGTTGGTTTCAGTTGAAATGCTACCTGTGATGATAGCCCCATGCTAGCCAAAGATTGCCCCCACTGATAACGTCTCACTCTAGTACTGAGTTCAAAGCCTTCAAAGCATTTACTACAACCTGTATTTTTTTCCTTCTGTAATTGTCTTTTTCTTATTGTTGCTATATGTCTATATTGCTACCCTTTTAAGCTATCAGAGAGAATTTTGTTCACAACATTCTACACTGCATGAGGAACTCAAGACAGTCACAAAATATTTCGGGTACATAGACATACAAAATCAAAGTAAGAGTCAGAGGTAGTCGCACGTGTAATTATCAAGCCTATATCTTACTAAAGTGTATACGCTCTAATTATTGGACATTCACGGGTTTGTGTGCCAGATCTAACTGTAGCTCTGGTAAGGATATTTCAAAAAAAATGTGCAGTTGTTGCTATATTTCTGCCCTATCATTTTTCACAGGTTTCGAAATATGTCATAAAATATTATTGGGTCAGGGAACCAGGCAGGCCACCAGATGGTTGAGAATGATTTATTTCCCTGGTTTCAGACTCGTGAAGAAAGAGCACAGGAAGAAAGTCGGTACTTATCTCTGAACTTGCAGAATATGGGAGATAAAGGGACCTTGAAGTCCATCTAGTACAGCCTCACTCGTAATTTCAAAACCCCTGCTGCAGTACCCAGTGACGTGGCCATCCGTCCTTGACTTTAATATTTTCAGTAATGAGACACGATCTTATAAGATGTCTGTCTCATGATTGGACAGATGCTGATGAGCAAGGTCTTCCTCCCATTGATGCACAATGTCCTTCCTGTAACATCTGGCCCTTGGAGAAACACTGTGCATTCCTTTTTCCTGCTCTAAATTATGAACTTTGAGATATTTGGAAACCGCTAAGATATTTTCTCTTAGTGTTCTCAACTTCAAAAGAATTCTCTCCCCCCCCCCCCCCCCAGTTCTTGGTCACCCATTTCTCCTTTTAAATACGCATTTTGCTACTGGATGATGTCAGGATGCTTATTTCTTAATTGCGGACCTAATTGTACTTGAGGTATAAAGCTACTAAACGATCCACTTTTGAAAGTCAATTATGCATCTAACTGCATCCTGTTATCATTACTAATATCAGCATCGGTTGTTAATTGTCAAATGCAAAAGCAGATTGCTCTGCTACGACCTATCTACCCAGAGGTCTGTGTCAGAAATCGATCAATGACTGCCCGAACTGGCTGACTATTGAAAGCCTTCTGATCAAAATCGGAAAACATTTAAATTAATCTGGGCTACCAGTTTGCACAAGGACAGCAATAAGGCGTCCTCTGACCTCTCCACTAGGCATCCTGAAAACACACCACCAAAGGAGAGCTTCCCATTAGGAAGCAGTAGCAGAAATGATCTGAGCCACACTCAGGCTTTGAAAAGCTGCACAGTGGGGCTGCAGTCTTATGACCTCCACCATGGTTCTAACCATCAGCACCAAGGCAAATGCCACATCACTGTGCCGGAGCCCAGTCATTGTCGGTGCTGATTTGCTGATTTCCCAATCAGCAAAATTTACACTAGGAACATTGATAGGATTCAATTCACATATCTATACATATATACATACTGTAATCACCTCTTCTTGTAAGGGACAGCAGTAAAGTATAACGTATTTAAACTCTGCAGTAGTTTCTACTTAACACTGAAGTATTGAGTCCTGTATTCTGTAGCACAGAGAAAGGATGGCTTGGTCGCCTTGCATCGTGTTCTACAATACGCGCTGGGCAACACAGCACTCGACTTTCCCCTGAGCACAACACCGAGGGACCTAGAAACATCGACTCAAAGATGTCTTGTTCAGTTAACTGTATCTGATGTGTCCTTTGTGTCATTGAAGCCAAATACATCTAATCATAATATGTTCAAAACAGTAAAAGCCAAACACTGTATTTTCAGTAATGTGAGGAAATCATGGTACATGTTTTTTTTTATTTTCTTTTAAAAATAAACAAGCTGAGTTACTCAGCTGTTACAACAATTCTGGTTATAGGTTAGACTATGTCCTCGAAAAATTTATGTTGAATCTGTTCTCTTTACAGTTCAGGGTGTGATTTTATGACAGCTGGGTTGTTGAAGGTGTAGTGAAGTGATGATGAACCCAGATTGCAGAATGCTGGGCTCCAAGGTGACCTTTCAGGGGGAATTTGGAGACAGAAACACACCTGGAATATACCATAGAGAAAAACACAGACCGGGACAATTTTTCCACAGGACCAGAAACTGGGGGAGAGGCATACAGTGCCCTTCCTCCTAGGCCTTGGAAGGAAGGAGCTGACCCGACCTTGCAAGCAGAGTGACCTTGAATTTCTACTCTGTAGAATCCGCAAACTGGTTTCTGTTGTCCAAATCACTTAGCTTGCAATCCTATGTTGAAATTAATTCAAATCAATTAGTATGCAGTATAAACTATGTATCTCCACAACTGACTTTGTAGGTAGCCTTTTAAAAAAAAAAAAAAAACGAGTGTACAATATTGTGTGGTGTTAAAAAAAAAGTGTATTTTCTCCTAAAGTACACCAGAGGCATATATCTTAAAAGTCCTGATGCTGAGGATAGGGTAGGGGTGGCTCAGTGAGTAAAGGAAGTATTTGTTATACATGCATTAGAACCTGAGTTCCAATCCCCAGCACCTACATCAATGCTGGGTACGGCAGCACATATCTGTAGCCCCAGCACTGGGGTAGCAGAGAAAGGTAGATGCCACGGATTTGCTTGCTAACCAGTCTAGCCAAGTCAGTAAGCTCCAGGGTCGGTGAGGCACCCTGACTTAACCAGCAAGGTGGAGCAAAATAGAGTGACAACTGAAATCAACTTCTGTGCACAGATGTGCACAGAACACACACACATGCATCCTTATTACAGCCATATCATAGATACACATAATCTATAAGGATGTATTTCTGCTGCAGTATAGACAGTCTAAGTAGTTATGTGAAGCCCTATGTGTCCAGCGGTGCCCCATGACTGCATGACCAATGCATCTACAAGTAGAAATGTATTTACTGCAGCTGAGTAATAAAATTTTAATTTAATTACGCGTCTAATTTAATAAAAATAATCACACATAGCCAGTGACTACTGTAAAACTTTAAATTTTTTCATTTATTTAATCTCACGCGCATGTGTGTATGCCTAGATTTAAATACATGCAAGCGTGTGCGGGAGCCTGTGGGGTTTAGAAGGAGTGTCAGACTCCCTGGAACTGGAGCTACAGATGGTTGTGAGCCACCCAGTGGGTGCTGGAAACTGAACCCAGGTTCTCTGAAAGAGCAGTAAGTTTTCTTTACCACTGAGCCATCTCTCCAGCCCAGTTTGCAGAAAAACGTTACATTTTAATTTGAGAATGACATTCCATTACTGACTGTGAAACCACTAAATATGAAGGGACATAAAACTCCTAAGAAAGAGCAATTTATGATTGGGATGAATCCCGGAAGAACATACACTATGTAAAGTTTTGGCACCAAAACTATTAATTTAAACCCAGTAAGGGATTCAGCAAACCAAGAGCGAGGTTACCAGCTATCACCAGCAGGGGGAACCAAAGAGCAGCACACGGGCTTTTCCCAAGAGAGTTTTCTTTCCCCTACATCAGGGCCCTAAAATAGTCTGCCCAGGAACTGCACGGCCCAGGCTTCCCACAGATCCAGTCAGCCACATAATCCGCACATGTTTACTTTCAACAGAGCCCTAGAACACGATAGAAATTGGCTCTAGGCATCAGAGTGTGAAATCTAATCAACGGGAAGGGTTATTTTTTTAAAGAATGAAATTAAATTAAATTAATGATAAAGTTAGGTCTTTCCCACTCGCCTCTGTTAACGTGTGGTTAGTGATATTTTTCTTTTCACTTTGTTTTCTTATTGCTGCATAAATCAGAGAAGAACTTCAGGTCTAAAGAGTTACACAGAAAGTGAAATTTTAATCAGAACAGTGTTGAAGGTTCTTTTGGGAAGTTTTGTCCATGGTATGGATGACCATACATGGTCCTACCTCTTGGTAAAGGTCACTGAGATCTTCCTGGTGGGCCTGCTTGGAGCATCCTGGGAATTCCCTAACACAGCAGGAATCTGGAGGCCAGTCCATCTCTGTCATTTCCAGCCAGTCGGTGAAGTACACTACTCCACAGCACTTAAACTGAAAAAGAGTTAGCAGCCACACTTAGGAACTACACAAAAGAGTTTTTTGTTTAACTTACGAGAGATGAGACAGTAGATTTCTTAAACGCTGGTAATCATCGGGGTAAAATTTGCGTGTTAGCTAAAGCTCCATGAGCATACTGTCTTGACGACAGGCATATCATAAAGGAATATCAACGTCAGCATCACACAATGGGACCGTTCTGAACAGCAACACCCACCCCTCCTAAAAGCAAATAGCGTCTCACTCTCCAACTCTAGAATCTTCTGCAGATGGTTATAATAATGACAGATCTCACACACATACTTAGAGATTCAGTAACTGAATGTTGATTATCACTATCTTCTAGTCAATAGAAAGTAGTGAATCACTTTATTTATTATCCCCTCCCTAGTGTAAATACTCAGCAAATTGAACTGTTCTGACCAAAACTTCCACAAATTCTATGGAATGACTTGATGACCAAAGCTCACATCACCAAGGTCACCAGGCAGTCTTTGATTCCTTAACCAAGGGAAAATTTTGGAAATAATTTGTCCCACTTATTATCACCCAGTAGGATAGATGTCTTGATAAACTATCATATCCTATCTATATAGATGCAGAAAAATGATGCTGTGCTTAGCTTGAATGTAGTTGGACTTAAGAAAAGTAAGCTTGCCTTTCTCTAAATTGTGCTGAAGAAGGGTGTGTTTTGTTGTACTTAACCATAGATTGTTACTTTGATGAAGGCTTAGAAGCACTGCTTGAAGGCAGGTGCAGACTTATTCAGAAGAGATAGCTCTCCTGAGGAGAGCTTTGCCCTTGGATAAGAGAGAAGTTCTCATCTCTAAGTCAGAAGGAAGGAATATGGGCAGTCATGGGAAAGAGCCCTGCCAAGAGTGATGGGTATGCAAATTACATAGCCCAGGAAACCAATCCCCGCTCAAGATTAACACTGAATCATGAAATGTCACAATCCAGAGCCATTTCAAAGCTTAACCAAAACTTGGAAGAATCCTGAATTCCTCATGCGACAGCGAGCAAGGAAAATATTCAATGTATTCAGTGCATTTTCACTCTCTCTGCCTAAACAGCTTGTGATTCAAGAGCTTATGACTTAAAAAGGGAAAGGGCATCGGAAAAGCACTTTGAATGATAATCTCTGGGAGCCATTAACACTAAGAGCTCTGAGAAAGTTTAAAAATAATTTCTGTATTGTTTTAAAGCCGTGGGTGTACCACAAACGGCACAACTAAGTCATGTCCTAAGCACTGTAAGTGTCAAATAAATGTCACCGAGTGACCGATTCTGGGGTCGTCACACACTCACCCAACCATTGGGAATTCTGAAAATAAAGCACACAATTAAAAGACTTCCCTTTTTGAATGCTGTAAACTCTCACATTGTTAGGTGGGTGTTTTTAAAGCCTTTTACCCTGAGAAGACCTTTTCCTGCATTTCCTTGCCACACGAGGCCTTTTCGAGCTGACTTGACAGCCTCAGTGGAGTGGCCCATTTATCTGACTTCGCCAGGAAATGAAGACTTCCACAGCAATGGCTTTCCCAGATAACTTCAACATTCCGTGCCCAGTGCCAACATTGTTAAGGAGCCACTGGCATCCGTCTTCTATGCAGTTGTCTTGCCTACCCAACAGAGGACATTGGATCTGTATGGAGGCTTCCTGAACCTCCTCAAGGTAAAATCAGTGTTACCCCAGTAAAAATCTGTGTTCTGCCACTACCTGCCGAGACTGCTCCACTCCAAGCCGATACTATGTCAAGCTGTAGAAAATACCATGGAATCACTATTGTATATGTAAATTAATCGAGGTCCTTGATAGACAAACTTATTTTCCAAAATCCTATGGCAGCAACTGTGATTCCAAACCTTATACAGCCACTACCAGGTTAAAATAAATACATTTTTTAAATGGGGTTTTAAAGAAGATATTAGTAAGTGTCACCAAAAATTATGTAAGATCCATTCATTTATGGCACATGCACAAAAAATGAGGGGCTTCGAGGGCTAAAACCTGACCAGGTAATTTCCTGGTCCATGATTTATTGTGGAAGAGAAGCATACTAGGCTGAGCTGTCGCTCTCCATCTAAATTTACGGGTGAAAATTCTATCCCTCTCGCCACAGAATGTGACTGTTTATGGTGAAGGAGCCTTTAGAGGAGTACGTAGTGTCGAAGAAGACCATCGTCAGGGGCATAATTAAACATGAATAACATCCTTATGGGAAGATAAAAATTAAACACGGACACATATAAAGTCAAGACAATGAGATCAAGAACGGGGAGAAGGCCATCTACAAGCCAGAGGAAGAGGCTTCAAAAGAATCAATAACTGCTAATCTTGAACTTTTAGCCTCTAGACAAGTGAACAAACACTTGCCCTAAGTGACCCTGTCTGTGACACTCAACCATGACAGCCCTATCAGACTAATAGAAAGAGCTCTGAAAGTGTTCCACACATTCGGAGGTATTCACCACTCTTTTTAGGCAAACGAGCCTTGTGAGATAAGAGAGACCAGGCCAAGGGAACTAGTGTGGAATGTTTGCAGTGCATGTACACTGCTCACGGAGGTAGAGCCCCACAGGAGGAAAGCAAGGTCGCTGTTTCTCAACCTGGTTTATCGTAGTTTATATCATCCATTCCAGAAAGTAGACTCTGGAGCTCTACCCAGCACGGCCCCTGAACAGGGCTTCCTATAAACGCCCCGGTACTCCACACGTCTTCCCATTGTGTTGTTTCTACTATAATTATGCAACAAACAACCAAAGTCAGGAAACAATGGAATAACAGGAAACCTGTGGGGCATTGATAATTTTACCACCTCAGCAACTGTGACCCAAAGCCAGGTTTCGGAGATTGTCCTAGGTCTGAACCACAGGCACGGACAGGGTTGGCTGTCCAGTAAGATATTCATCCTCAAATGCTTCATGGGGCAAAACAAGAAAAAGAAAGTAAACTAAGACACGGGGTCTTCTAGAAATGTCACTCCAATCACAAGGAAAACACTTAGGAGAGCTGGTTTGAAGGAAGATCCAAGATTAATCTCAAGTCGTTCAACATTGAAACTTCCAGAAACCAGTTCCCGTTTAATATACTTGGATGAAATGTAAGACGGTTTTGCAACAGAAGTCTATTTTGTACTGTCACTGTTACCAAGCAGAAGCTAAGGGAGATCAAGTCGATGACGTCATTCCCTCTTCTTCTTCCTCCTCAACACTTCAAGAGGTTGAGTACCTGTATTGTTCCTATGTCACAGGTGTGGAAATGGAGGTTTAAGGAATTGGGTGAAACGATAATAAGTAACAGAGATGGGATTTGAACCAAAGACATCCTGACTAGGGAAAAAACAGGCTGGTTGGTAATGATATTCATCCGAACAACATGCACAAATGGAAGCAACCTTTTAAAATGTTGAAGCAAAGTTTAAAGCCCTGGTAACTCCGAAAGCAGTAAAATAACTCTAAAAGAGAAATTTTTAAGTAAAACGCTGTTTATTAACTAACTCATGAAAAGGAAACTTCAGAGTAGTTGAGCAAAACAACTTCTGAAGCAGCGTGTGTGGGCCAGAGGCGTGAAGGTGAACGACTGTATCTGAGATGAAAAGACAACAGGGAGTGGGTTGAGGCATGCAGGGAAAAAAACTGCACCAGTAACGGTGGATGCCCAGGCTTCAGTTTGCACTGCAGAAATGATCAAAATCAACGCTTTGAACACCTGCTTTGACACCTTGCTTTCAGCCCCCAGGAATAGCAGCACTTACCTCTCGCTGAAAAAAATTCCAAGCATGTGTAAGCCATCTATACCTGGGTAAGCCATAATTTGTCATTCTGGCTTTCAAAGTAACCATATCTGACCACTGTACTGGCACCTGGAGATACGAAACAAAGCAAAACAAAACATCAAGATACAAGTCCAAGCAGCCAGGTAAAGGCTCACTCACATATATAAATCTATAACCTTCAGCACACCGACAACACCACAGCACATGCACACACAGTGTGCTGAGCCTGACACATGCCATTTTAATTTGTACTTGCTTAGAGACTAAATTAGGCTCACACAAACAAGCCAGGCATTCACGAAACTGAAATGGGGATCGAGAACTAGGATATAGAAAGAAGACGTGTGTATGAGCTGCTAAAACAGAGGTTCTCATTATCTCTAATGCTGTAACGCTTTAACACAGTTCCTCATGTTGTGATGACACCCAACCATAATTATTTTCATTGCTACTACATAACTGTAATATTGCTACTGTTATGAATGATAATGTAAATATATGTGGTTTCCAACTGTCTTAGTCAACCTCTGAAAGAGTCATTCGACTCCCCTCCCGCAAAGTCATGACCTAACACCAGGGTAATTTTGAGATCTTATTAAATTCGTAATATCAGGCTGGAGAGATCGCTCTGTGTATAAGAGGGCATGCTGCAGAGTATTAGGATCTGAGCTCAGATCTCCATCATACAGGAAAGGCTGGATGTGGGCACGTGTGCCTGTAACCCCAGCGCTCAGGAGGTGGGAGGAAGGACAGTGAGCAGAGGAGCTCTGGAGCTTAAGGGCATCAACCTAGCAGAAATCGCCTGTCTCCAGACTCTGTGTGAGGTACTGTGATGTAGGTGGGTCTTGTATCTTATTTGTTGCTTTCATTGGTTAATAATAAAGAAACTGCCTCAGCCCTCATAGGACAGAAAATTAGGTAGGCGGAGTAGACAGAAGAGGATGCTGGGAAAAAGAAGCTGAGTAAGGAGTCGCCATGATTCTCCCGCTCCAGACAGACGCAGGTTAAGATCCTCCCTGGTAAGCCAGCTCGTGGTGCTACACAGAATATTAGAAATGAGTTAGAACAATATGTAAGAGCTAGCCAATAAGAAGCTGGAACTTATGGGCCAGGCAGTGTTTGAAAGAATACAGTTTCCGTGTAATTATTTCTGGGCGTAAGCTAGCCATGAGGGCGGCCGGGTGCCGGGGACGCAGCCCTGCCGCTCCTACTTCAACAATACTGTCCGAAAGGAACAAGGAAGGGGTCGGTGGAGGAAGGCATCAGCTCTCCTATGGCCTCAGCACCTGAGCGTGTGTACGTGCACCTGCGAACACCGAACACACGTGCACCCAGCATACATATGTGCACATAAATTTTTATTAAAAATTAAATTTAAAAATAATGTCAACAATTGAGAGGAGAGACAGGTGGGCCTCTATAAGCTCAAGGCCAACCTGGTCTACAAAGCAAGTTGAAGGAGAGCCAGGGCTACCTCAGCAAAAATAAAAAGTAGTATCCATAGAAGTAAGTATAAAAAATTCCTTAGCCACAGAAATTCTTCAATTTTATTTTTTCTAGCTATTTTTAATAATCACTTGGAAACACAAAATACAAAAAATAGCAAGTAGGTTGGATATGCATTCTATTCTTATGATTTCATAAAATTCAGAAAACTAGACAAAGTTCAAGCCACCCACTATGAATTAGCATTATCTCATATCCTTTATGGTACAAAATAAATTGAAGTAAAATAAGTTTTCAAGAAATATATCATCTGAAACAGTTAATATTATTGACAGGTTTTAGCTGGAGTATTGATAGGAGCTGAGGGCATAGGAACGACCAAACTAATGGGGGAGCAGACAGATGTCAAGTCTCTTGACAGAGTTAATAGAGTAACTTTTTCTAAATTTTTGCTTTCCAAAATAAACACTGGTTGTTGCTGCACTGTGGCCACCATCAATCTCAAACCAAATGTGGCAAGAGAACAGAGGACCATTGAGGTTCTGGCACCAAATTCGGGGGCACTGGCCATAAAACACAACACACAGTGAACAGCTTGCTTGCATGAAACAGCTTCGAGCACAAAGCCCATTCTATGTAAAGGTTGGATTCTGCAAAATTTGACAGACAATAAACTTTAATGAGACTTCTCTTTTACGTTGTTATTAGGACAGAAGCAATAAAAATGGCAGCGCTGGTTTCCTCTTCTGCGAGTCTGCCCTCCATCTTTCACTTGGACATGGCCCTTCCCTCCTCTCTCCTGGTGACAGAACAGGAAAGATTTACACAAGCAAAACAATGACGTGTGCCCATGGCTGGAATGGTGAGCAATGCGCATTCATTTAGTGCCCTAGGAACTGAAACCACTGAGGACCGTCCCTGAATAGACAGCACATGGAAGTTCATTTGTTTTCTATGCTTCTTGACATGGAAGCGCTTCTCTCAGACAGGCAGAATGAACTCATTCTAAGCTTTCGGCTGCTTTAGAGACTCCTCGTATATCAGTTGGACATATGCTTCACAACCCATCGAGAAAATCCATAGTCAGAATGGGGTGTGCTGCCTCGTGACAATAACTACAGTACTTGAAGGGTGGAGGCAGGAGGGTTGCCATGAATATGAGGACAGCCTGTATTACATAGTGAGTTCGAGGCTAGCTTCGGCTATTAAGATCCTGCCTCTAAACTACCCAAATAATGAAATCCATAGAAAGATACTCATTTGAATTACCACATAGAATACAATCAAAAGCTGAGCTTAAAATAATTAATAATTATTTATAAGATTTATTCTTCTGTTGTTTGCATGTTAGGCATGTAGGCTACTCTTGGAAACTGAAAAACAGAGTAAACTTCATATAAGGAAATTTAAAACAAAAATCCGGGGCCCTACAATTTTTTATTTTCCTAATATACAAAGTTTCTAGGTATAATGTGAAAAATCTAACAAGAGAGAGCAAGTGGACCCTTTTTTTATATGGGTTTTCCCATATATTCTCAATTTTATATTGAGTTAGAACCGACGCTGACTCTTCAACTTTCCATTGATGTATCTTCTTCCTGTGAGTCCTCATACGTGGGGGTATGCGTGTCTTCACAGAGCTGTGGCTCCTAGCACAGTTGCCTGCACACTGCTTTGACCATTAATCTGTGGTACCCAGGGGATATCCAGTCAGTGACTAGCCTCAGAACACTAAAGATTCATCACAGAATCTTTTTTAAAAAAATTCTTATAACTACTATATTTGCAAAACAAATTCTTTTGGGTTGTTTTTGTATTTTTTTAATTGAGTTTATTGAGCTATACATTTTTTTCTCCGCTCCCTTCCCTTCTCCTCCCCTCCCCTACTACCCTTTCCCATGGTCCCCATATTCCCAATTTACTCAGAAAGTCTTGTCTTTTTTTTACTTCCTGTGTAGATTAGATTCATGTATGTTATCTTAGGGTCCTCCTTGTTTTCTAGGGTCTGTAGGACTGTGCATTGTAAGCTGGTTTTCTTTTCTTTATGTCTAAAAGCCACTTATAAATGAATAAATGTGATATTTTTCTTTTTCTGGATTACCTCATTCAATAGGATATTTTCTAGATCCACCCATTTGCCTACAAATTTCAAGTTGTCATTTTTTCCTGCAGTGTAGTACTCCATTGTATAAGTGTACCACATTTTCCTTATCCATTCTTCAGCGGAGGGGTATTTAGGCTGTTTCTAGGTTCTGGCTATGATAAACAAAGCTGCTTTGAACATAGTTGAGCACATGTCCTTGTGGTACAATTGAGCATTCTTTGGGTATACACCCAAAAGTAATATTGCTGGGTCTTGAGTAAGGTTGTTTCCTAATTTTCTGAGAAATCACCATACTGATAGCCAAAGGGGTTCTCTAAAAATAGAATATTATATTCTTATTAGTAAGAATATAATTAATATTATTAATAATAGAATACCAATAATAGAAATGACATCAATTGTATTACGCAAATGCCCAATGCCCTGCTTATTTCTGAAGCAAACACAACACTATCACCTTATCATTACTATTGCCCTCTCTTAAGAGGTCTTGAATATTTAAATGCTTATGATACACCAGAAGCTGGTCAGGTGCTCAGACCCCACCGTTTCCCTGTGTTCTAACCGAGCACATCTGGACTGGTAGGGAGGAGCGCACGTGATTCAGAACCACCTTTTGAGCCTCCCCAGAAGGCCCGAGGGCAACACATTGAAAAGCACCATTTTGCATAAACAGAATTGCTCTATGAAGCATGATACCAGCCAGCATGCACAGACTTGCAAAGCAACTCTATTCCTCACTGGGAACAATCGTACTAATTTCACCACTGAAGTGAACAACCTAAGCCATAGCCAGGGTTGGGGTAGGAGGCTTTGGGGGGGGGGGAGGAGTAGGGGGCAAGTGAAAAAGCAAGTGGCGAAAAAGGTTGAAAGAACTCTCTTATTCTAAGAAAGCTATAAAGGTTTTTTTTTTTTTTTCTAGTGGTTTCAATGGCTGAAATAAGACAGGAAACGCTGAACTGTTGTTTTCAAGAAGCCAAATCTCAAGCTGTGAGAGTTTTCACACCATGGTAAGCGCGCAGCAATTCTTCAAATGCACTTCTTAAAGGGCAATATAGTTCAGCTTGTTGCAATCAGGAGATACTGGCTTCCTCCCTGCTTTCTGCTTGGGTCAGCAAGGATGGGCTTACAGGAGGAGGTCTAACATTCTCTAGCAAGCACAAGCGTCTTCACTATTAATTCAGAAGCTGGTATAGTTGTCTTAGACTAGTTCCAATCAATGATGTCCATGTTTAAGAAATCTGTGGAATTAACGATGTATCACAAGACCCCAAGATAAAGATTTTAAATTACCTCTTGGAAATGTGTTTTATCCTCAGGGGAAAAAATATACAATTTTTCAGAAAGTGTCAGGAATGTTCACCCTTACAATGTAACATGATCGTGCAAAGTAACAACCATGTAGCCAAGTCACTCTCCAGTGTCCCACACTGTGATTCTGCCCCACCGGGAACTCACCATAACCTCCTGCTCGTACGTCCACACACCACAAGCCAGTTCTACACAGAAGATGACCAGTAAAGTTCCAAAGTACTGCAGAAAAACAGAGGGAGCATTAGCATGAAACCGTCCCAGGCAAATGTTACTCAGGGTCATGCTGATCTATGGCAAGAATGCACAGGCCCTTCTTCGGGTAGCACAGGGAACAGGTTTCCCCAAGCCAGGGCTCAGCTGCAGGAAACCATCAGGAGTCACCGAAATGGCCTCTGTTTTGTCATTAGTCAGTTATTAGGGGAAACCTTTTAAAAATGCCAATAGTGTCATTGAGCTAAATAAGAACTTATATGATGTACTTTAATAAAGCTGAACCAAGTCCTCTGAGAAATGACACCCAGTTCTTCTCAGAAAGAATGAGGTGAGGTTTGCAAGTCCAACACTTTCCCCTGTTCATATTTCCCCTTTCTTTTGCATAAAATGGAGGAGGGCTCCTTTGCTGTAAAAAGGACAATGTAGAACAAAATCTCTACCAGTCATGTTAGTTTAGAATAAACTGTAGATTTCTCCTGTGGAAAGTGGCATTGGGAGGCATACATAAGCAAATAGGTAACAAAGCTGAACGCAGGATTAAAAAGAGAAATGGCAAATAAAGAGTTGGTATTTCTGTGAAGCAGAGAATACACAGCATCCTGAACAGAGAGCAGACCTGCAAGGAAGAAGACAGAGAAGTGTTTACATAAAAAGGATGTAAATGAATACACAGAGGCAGGTGGGTGGTACAACGGAGCGTCAAGGCGTACAGACACACGTTGAAAGGTAATTGAAACCCAGATCACGGGGGACACCAGATGACCCGCTAATGGATTTTAAATAGACCAGGTAGGCAGTGAGGTGGCATCCCTCAGTGTTTCTGAATAAGAGGAAGACACAAATGGGTTAAATAATGCCAGGATACTAACCAGCTTGAAAGAGAAGGACTGAGGAAGGAGTTAAAAAGCCTAGAAGGCAGTCAACAGGAGTTTGAGGTGAAGACCTGAATTTAGGTAGTGGCCTTGCAGACAAGCAGGAACAATACCTTCCAATCATAGAGCGAAAGACATTGCACCGCCTGGATGCACAGACTGAGGGAGGAAGATGTATCTCCCTAGTAGTAGCTTGTCTGTGGGAAGGTGCAAGAAGTATGCACCTTCTTAGCAAAATATAGAAACACATTCCACTCCAAGTGTTATTTCAGAGCTCAGGTGCCTCACAGGGGACCGGAAACTATTCTCTTATTAGAAACTTTTGGATAGCATTCTATTTTTCGAGTTCATAATTTAGTCAAGAGCCTTCTGAAACAGGATGGTCCCCATCCCCTACCCAAGGAAATAAGTACAAAAAGAAAGTCATGTGACTTAGGAATGCGCCTGATAGATTTCATGGACTAGATCTTTGCAGCATTGTTCTGTGTTCTTCCTTACCACTCCCCATTGGTGAAGGTAACCTTATGGAAGCCAGTAGTGAAAACTGAAGGAAGAGGGGACTTCCAAGAGTTCTCTCCTCTGGTTCGCACAGAAGCAGAACACTGCTGAGCACGAGTCTTCTGCTTCGGGCACAGCACGGAATTAGGTGGTAGCACCAGATGCTGGTGGTACCTTAGACTACCCCCTTCCTTGCAGTCAGAGCTGAAGGAAGAGCAGATACCTAAGTGTGTTCCTTATCACATAGGACTTGATAAATTCCTGCTACGCAAAACAGCAAGTGGAAACAAAGCAGAATGGGTTGGTAGTGGTTGCAGTTCCCATGGACTAGAAAAAACTTCAATAAAGGTGATCTTTAAGAGGAAGAGGAGAAAGCAAAACTGTTAGGATTCCAGAAAAAAATAAAAGACATCTCAGAAGAGGACGCAGCAAATGAAAGCCACTTTGTGGATTAGTGAGTTAAGCAGACTCAAGGTAACCTTGAGTTACCTTGAGGTTGTGACTGGGACAAAAAAGCAGATGCCAGACAATGTTCTGAGGTACAGTGGTCTGGGGAAAGGACTGTGCATTGTCTTCTAAGTGTGATGGAACTATCAATGGGTAGCATGATCTGATACACACCATGAAAACATTTCTAGCAGTTCTATTTGCAGAGAGCAGCCCATAGGAAAAGCAACGTCATGAGATTTACATAAAGGATGGCTAAACTAGGAGAGGAGGGGAGGAAGAGCAAGGAGCCCACTGGCACAGGGCTGTCGGCTTTCAAGACTTGGCATTTTCAGAGGCTTTGTTCAAATGCTGTCAAAAAGGGAAGAGCAATCAAAGATAGCGAAAATTACAGTTTTCTACTATTTCTGTGAAATAGTACTTACAACTTAAAAATAGACACCGCTGCTAGTAGTTTTAACTTGCTTCCTTCATATTTCTTGCATTCAAACAAAAAATACAACCGCATAATCTCTAAGTAGTGCAGCTTGGAAACAGAAATCGGTTCAAAAGATAAAGTAGCATTTGCCAAGGGGCTCCCAGTTCACCAGCAACTCTGCTTCCAGGGTATTTAACGCAGATGCAGGCATGTGCAGCCTCAGGACTCAGATTTCTCCTCTAAGTGTTATTTCCAGGGGTGAACTGAAAAATTTTAGCCTTGAAAGGCAAGCTAGAAGAAATCCGGTGAATGAGGTTACCCCGTATCCATCTCTCTCTAGGCTCTCTTTAATACTTAAGAAGTATGTCAACATGAAAAATACCTTTATTATTGTCATACAAAGATATCAACCAATGTTCTTTCTTAACTTTGACTTAAAATAAGCTATTAGGAGGCCAGGAGACTGCAGAGAAAATCACATTATTTGCACTATGGAATACCTTTGCACAACTTTAATCTGAAAGTTGAGTCTTTTTTTTTCCCTTTTTGTTGTTGTTTGTTTACTTATTTGGATTTTTCTTCCTGTTTTCGGTGGTGGTGGTGGTGGTTGTTTTTTAACTGAAATTGATATTCTTTTTTATATTGCTATTATTATTATTATTGTCTGACTTAATTGTTTCTTTTTTGGTTTTCCATTGGAAGGACGCTGAAAGAGTGAGTGTGAGATATGGGGGGGGGGACTGGGAGATGGGTGGTATTGGGGTGCATGGTGTGAAATTTCCAAAGAATCAATAAAAAATGTTTTTAAAAAAGAAAAAAAAGGCATGTCTACTCACAATAAAAACCAAGTCCCCTCAAAATGGAAAACATCACTAAAGATAAATATGGACCAGGTGGTAACTATGTGTACTGACTGGGAAAAAGGGCCGCCCTGATCTACCTTGGTGATATCCATGAAGATTTCTGGGCTGAGCTAAATCTTTTGAAATTCCAGCTGAGCTGTCGCCCTCATTCCCTGCCTTCCTGAGTCACCAGTAAGTCAGTAAAAGGCCCCGGGGTCTGGTTCTAGGCACATACTCAGATGTAGGCAATATGTCCAATACATGAAGAACTGCCAGGCCTCTAGATTCAAGCTACAGGTTATATATAAAAACAGGTATGCTATCATATAGTTTCTTTATAGTGTTATTATTTTGTGTGTTTATGTGTCTGGGTGTAAGCAGGTGCCCAAGGAGGTCATTTGAAGAGCACATAAGTTCCCCAGAATAGAAGTTACAGGTAGCTGAGTGTCACCCGGTGCAGGGAACTGAACCCCTGGTCCTCTTCAAGGATAGCAAGTGCCCTTACCAGTTGAGCCATCTCTCCAGCCCCGGAATCCAGTTTCTTAAAACAGTCATGACAGTGAGCTGCCAATATTGTTACTTAGTCATCCACAGACATGCATATGTAAAGCGCATACACAGCAAAACATGCTCTAATTCCAAAACTCAGAACTGACTGTTGACCACATAACATATGACTTGGCCGTTCTTTTAACTCTGGGAAATTCCAGGGGTTTCATCAGATGCAAGTTACCCCATATGAATCAATCACTGTCTTTATCCCATTAGCACTCGAGAAGATTGACTGATTTGCCCTTGAGGTTGAAAATATTCCTTATTACACTATCAAGTTTTCCTGAAATAAATTATATATATATATATATACATATATATATATGTATATATATATATATCCTTCAATTCAAGTGAACATTTTTTTTATGAAGGATGCTACATGTGTTACTATCGCTTTAACCGGAAACATTCAGTCATCTAATTCCAGGCACACTCAAAGTGTCAAATCCATTCTGGGAACATTCTGCACGTCAAGCTCATCCCTACAGCACGCACGTCGACTGTACTTGCCCTTTGCTTTTCTGTGTGGTGAGATCTGCGTGACCACATCTGTCTTCTACTGACCATCGTGCAGAGAACCATGCAATCACTGTTTTAACTGAGGAATTGAATTTGCAGCATCTTGATGCCCAATGGACGCCCAACAGTAATCTTTGTTTTCAGTAGAAAAAAAGCTAGCTAAGGCTTAGGTAACAAATCCAGCTCTGTTCAGTATGAAGTGAGTGGCCACACTGTATTTCATAGCTACCCCCTGTCCATCCACACAGTGGAGGAACATCATGCAACCAGCGTCCCACTTGGCAAGGCTCTCTTGGTGGACCTCTTTCCCTAATTTCCCAGTACATGTGGTTTGCTTGATGTTTCCTAAACCTCGTTCGCTTTCACAGCACCTCAGCCTGTCCTCTGCCATGAGCCTTTCCTTCTAGAACATACAAAGTTCTGAACTTGGAGCTAAAAGATTGAAGTTCAAAGCCAGCTCCAGAGAGCGGTATGGTTTAGGTCTGTTCATTTAACGGCCTGCTATCCATTGGCTCATCTGTACAATGAAGATATAAATGAAGTTGTCAAGGGGACTTGGTCCCCATTACGTGATCCAGAAAATGTGAAGTGTGTTAGAAATACGCTTCTGTATTACTTTGTGAAACCCCGTTCAGCGCCCATTGGTCTTCTCTTCGCTCTAGGACAGCCTGTCCTGCCCACAGAGGAGCACAGCTTCTCCCTGGACTGTCCTTTGTTCCTGACCACTGGACTCTCACCTTCCCTAAGTGTATTCAGATCTCCCTGTTGGCTGTATTTTAGGCCTCAGAGGCTTCAACCAGTTTCCTGCCTTCTCCACAAGTTACTGTGTCAGTCAGTAGCCAGGCCATCAGCTCC